CAAAGAGTTAGTTATGAAAGTTCCCCATGTTCCATGATAGGCGCCGATCAGGAGGCGGCTACGTAAACCCGTTGCGACGCAAACGCTGAGGTTACGACGAAAGAGGAGCAGGGTGCCAGATCAACTTACAACGCCCGAACGCTCGAATTCTTGATGAGACGACACCAGAGCCAGCACAAGCCCTTGATCACCACGGTACCAACCATAATGGAGATGGCCGGGATGCCGCTGTAGTTCCCGCGAGGTTAGCATTGCGAGTCTGCGAAAATTGCGGAGCGACTGAGACGTACAGCTGAACGATTTCGTGGTCGGGCGACATGAGACGCTGGATAGCTTCCAGAGCGACCTGGCAGAAGGATGTAACCATTACGATGGAGAAAACCAGCACGCCAAGAGGCTCGAGACTGTAGCGAGTCAGCACGCGGCTCGGAATGCAACGCGGAGGCAGCATCGCGAAGAAAAAAGTAAGGGGGTAAAATTGATACTTACCGCTGTCTGCCCACAGGATATGAATGCTGGTCATTTTGGCTGGCGGCAATGAGCCTAGTTGTCGTCCACACAATTGCGGTGCTGAGAAAGTCGAGAACCGCGTCGACCAAACTGGCCAGGACTGAGACTGAAGGTACCGAAACGACGACAAGAATCTTTCCGATTAGCAAAGCTGCGTTTGCGATAAAATTGACCCAAATGGCCAAAGTGACGATGGGGTCGCTGCTGTCGAGGTCGGAGTCTTCGAGCCATGGGATCTCGGGCTTGGGCTGATCGGCTAAACCTTCCTCCTCATCAGAGCCACTGAGAAGTGGGGTCGCCTCGGTGGACCGAAAAATGTCCTTGGGTTTGCGTTTCGCCTTTTGCTGTATGCTGTTTGCCGAACTACTCTGCTCCGTGCTGCTGTTTTGGGCTGAAGCAGCAGTGCTGCCGTAAGTGAGTCCGCTTCTGGACGGTGGTGAGGTGGGAGTTGGCGACTCCTCGGTAATGGTCTGGGGGACATCGACTGGGCGGTAGGCCGAGGCGTCTAGAGCTTGGTGATACTCGTTGAGCAGATCGTGGGGCACGGATGAATCCAAGAGCTGGTCGATGTAGAGGTACATGCGAATCAAATCGTTGGTTCTCTCGTAATATTCGCGGCTTTAGGAATTGACAATGCGCGTTAGCAACTCGCAACTCAACTCGCAAACTGGTACATGGAGAGCAGTCGACGGAGTAGGGGATTAGACTGTGAGCCCTGAATTGCGCCTGGGCAATCCGGGGCGGCAAGATTGCACAGCAGGAACTCACATATGCTTTGGCATAACCTCAAGCTCGGCCTCCGTCTTCCAGTAGCGCTCCCATTGATAGCGCGGGTTGCTGTTGCCGATAAGGCGCATGCTCCTCATCTGAGGGCCGAAAATGAGTTCGCTTAGACGGCGCTCCTCGGCGGCGGAGCGGTGGTGGTGGTCATCGTCCGAGTCCCTGTGCAGGAAGCCAAGCAGAGAGGTGCTCTCATGTTCCTCTTCGTCGTGACCCAGCTGGTGGTAGGCCGGGCTCTTGAGCGACTCTCGCAGAGTGGCATTGGAGCGGTTCCGGATGAGCGATACCAAGGCGCCGCTGCCTCTGGTGGCCAGAAGTGATGGGTCGCTATCGGCATTGAGTACTGAGGGACGTTTGAATGAGCCTACTCGAGGGCTGCTCGAGCGATGATCCTGCGGCGAGCTCATCGTGGCCGGAGGAAAAGAAAGAGAGGCAATGACGGCAGAGGTCGAATTGGGGAGAGAGACGACCAGGGAAAAGGAACAGAGAGAATGGAGTGGAGCTAGGCGGAAGGGCAGGTAGGTGAAGTGAGATTGAAGTGAAGGAGGAGGAGAGAGAGAAGAGAAAAAGGGAAGAGTAGCCGGCGCGATGCGAGGGAGAAGGCCAAGATAATAGATGAGATTGATAATCTCGTGGTCGGCGTGCAGCAGGCAGCTCCAAGCTGTGAATTGGCAGGTCCCGGCGCGCGTGGACGTGTAAAAAAAGGCGGCCCCAGTGACGGAGTATGCAGTATGGACCCGGAGGGTCTGAGGAGACGAGCAGCCGGCAAGGTAAGGTACTTACCGTGCAAGGCAAGGCAAGGCAAGACGCGGCGAGACAGTGGGTTGGGGTCTGGGGGCTTGGTTTGGATGGGGAGGGGACCTTTTTGAGAGAGCTCACACTCGCGTAGAGCTTCCTGGGGCTACGATTCGACAAAACCAAGAGACGCTTGGGGAGCTTCACGGTACGGGCGTTGGCAGACCCGACCAATGTTGTATCGGAGGAGTGGCTACTGGCGTTTGAACCTGCGCAACGCCATGGATTCTGCTGTAGCTCCTCTGGGCGCTTTTCCAGGCACGTTGGTCCTTCTCTCTCTCTCTCCCCTTCTCTCGCTCTTTCTCGTTGTCTACAGAGTACCTATTTCGCTGATCAGATGGGCAACGAGGGAGCTCCCCTGTCATCATCGAGGCAAGGCAGACAGGCAAGGTAAGGTACCTTGGCCTATCTATCCGTACCTTAGTACCTAACTTACACTCAGTACGAGCACAGATACGTACAGATACAAACACTAGGTACCTAAGGTAGTTTCGAGTTGCCCTTCCCGTCCACCCGAAGAACGAACCCCCCCGGCCCTGGCCTCAGCCAGAACAAAAAAAAAAGGTTTGCCCATTTCCATTTCCAAGAACGCCCCCAGCCAACCAGGTCGCGACACTCTCAGTTGGGGCGAGGCAATTGTAGAAAAAGATTGGAGCTTTCAGCTGGAAAACGGGGACGTTCTCGCGCCAAGTTGCCTTTTGAGCCGGTGTCGGCCCTTCAGCATTGTCTCCCGTGTCTCGTTCTGCCATTCTGAATGGTCCCTCCCTCCATGGACCATAGGTAGGCCACCATCTCTTGAAGGTCCTCAGCAACCCACGGACTTTGGGGTTTCTGGCACTTGGTGCAACATCAAGCCTCTCTTTCTCTTACCATGGGGGGACACTCGAAACTAGGTTTGACCTTTCAGCTGCCGGGTTCATGACTTCATTGCATAACTTCGCCAGCCCTTCTTCTTCATCTTCTCTCTGAGCTCTGAACTCAACCAGAGCACTCACACATACTCCGTACACATACACACACATACGTAGTAAGTACCTTGTGGAGAGCTCACAGTCGCGCCAATACTTTCTCATCTCGTTAGATTGATTCGGCTAGTCCTGAGTGAAAAAAGTTGAGTACAGCCCCCAAGGGCCCCAACATGGCAAATTAGTGCCCTTCCCCCCCGACTCAACCTGCCCTTTTACCGCCACTTCCGAGTTCATAATCCATTTCAACCCCCCCGGCCCGCGTTCCCCCCCATACATACTCCGTATTGTCTTGACTTTTCCCAGAGTTGGTTTAGCCGAGCACCAACTGACTAAGTTCAAACTATCTGAGGTACCCCCAGCCTCCAGGGCCCCCAATTGTCTGAACCATTCCCATCACTTACCAAAAGGAAGCTCTACTCGAGCCACCGCCAAGATTCAGATCAAACGGTAACTGTTTGTTCCCAACTCGACCCTGCTTATCCCTTCCCCTTTCCTAGGTTAGGAACTCATCTTTCGAGACTCCTTCCGAGGCGCAGCACATCGGCAAAAACGGACAATCAAGTTGTCTCCCGTCTCAACTCCGGCATAAGAGACGACGGGGTTTCTAGTGACAATGCTTGCATAGCGCCGTGGCTTGGCATTACGGCATGTTCGATGGTAACCCAGGACTTGCGAATAGTCCCTAGACATTATCTGTATACATACTTGCAACCAAATAATGACAGCAAGACAGAGAGGACGATATACTCTTGTCATTCAACGCCAAAAAGACTCAAGAAACCCTGGCTCAACTCCCACGTTTACCCAATTCCTTCAGCCCTGCACTCGTCATTGGCTCCTCAATAAGGAAGTTGGTTAGGGGTTCCCCTCCCCTCCCCTCCCCTCCCCCTCCCCGGGCCGTGGACCTGCAGAACATCTCAGCAGAGCCGCATCTTCTTCCCATTCGCAGCAACTTTTGGCGAACCTTTTTTTTTTTTTTGTACCTGGCCGCCATCACCTGATTCAACTGATGAGGGGCCCTCCGCTTCGGCCCCGGCTCCGGCTTCCCTTTCATAATCACGACAGCTTATCCTTTCCACACTCCAAAGAAAGAATAAAAATACACGATTCGGAGACTGGCACGGATGCGCCCCCGTTTTGCTGGCTTCGGCTTTGATTGCTGCCCGGACATGGGCACCAGGCCGAACTCGAGCCGATTCGGGGCTTGAGCTCCATTCTTGTGATGGACGATGTTATTCACGTCTTCCGTTCTTTGGAACTCAATAACGGTTGCCAGAAGCTCTTCTTCTTCTTCTTCTTCTTCTTCTTCTTCTTCTTCTTCTTCTTCTTCTTCTTCTTCTTCTTCTTCTTCTTCCCCCTGAGGTCTTCCTACTGCCTTCAGATCATCAGTAACCGACAAAAGACCACCAGAGATCATGACTAGGGATGTCGCTTGGCGGCCGCATCCCGAGATCTGTGGTCCATTGGCTCAGAGATTTGTTTCATTGAGTGTTCCCCCGATAGAACCGAGCTGAGTAGAGAAGAGCCGCTGGATTGACTTCTGTTCTAGCTCCTCATGTGTTTCTACTTGGGCTATGTTTCCTCAAAATGTCGCCCTCATGGGTCATCCATTGGGTTAGCAAGCTCTCCCTTCCCATGCAGACATGGCTTGCCCGGCTCTTCGCCGTGTTAGATGGGCAACTGCGCCTGTCCATAATTTGATGACTCTTTGAGGGCCAATGAACGCTCGCCCAGACTTTGACTCCGGATTTTGCATGAAGCCAACATAACTGGCCATATAAGCTGGGCACTGCATCTGGAAGAGACCAAAGGAGCTGGAGCCAGAAACCGAATCTAGGCTCATACAACACCTAGCGGTGAGTCTGATTGATGACGTGTGACGATGTTGAAGTCTTGTGTCACGAAAGCTTCCCAACGTTTTTGCCCCATTACTGCCAATGTTTCGATCTATTGCTTCTTCCTTTCCAAAATCTCCTGCACGACCTTTGCGGTGGCCTTGACAATGAGACCGTGTTCGACGCTGTGCATACGCTCTTCCACATCTGCCAGACTGTCACCCGAGCGAATCTCAACCTCCTCAATGAGGATCTATCACGGCCGTTCGTCAGCATAACGTGCGACTGGGGAAGGGGGAACACCTCCGGGAGTAGACGAACAGGCTCTCCACGGTCCACCGTCTCAATGACATAGTGAATCATTGCTCCGGTCCGGTTGTTCTCAAGCTTGCCGGCCTGGAAATCTTCGTATGCCCTTCCAATCGCATTGGCACCATCATAACGGCCTGACGAGCAGTGTTAGTCACATAATCTTGCACACATCACAAAATTTCCCCCTTTCCCCCCTTCTGCTTCTAGAGCATCACAGGGAGTTCAGAAAACCTACCAGGCAGCGCCGGGTGAAGATTAATGACCGGAACCCCGGCAGCCTCCAACGGCCGCAAAAACGGCGCGCTAAACACGTGCATCCACCCGGCGAGGACGACGAGGTCCGGCTTGTCCTGCAGCACGAGCTCGGCCAGCGCCGCGTCGTACCGGCCGCGGCCCTCGCGCAGCTTCGCCTCGTCCTTTTCGCCCTTGGCCGTGAAGCCGCCCGAGACGAGGTTGAAGTACCGCGTCGGGATGCCCGCCTTCTCCGCGCGCTGGACGGCGTAGGCGGTCTTGCGGTTCACGATGACCTTTTCAATCTTGCTTTGCGGTACGGTGCCGTCGGCGACTGCGTTGATGATGGCTTGCAGGTTCGTGCCGGAGCCGGAGCAGAGGACCACGAGGCGGCAGGTTTCGGTGGTGGATGGTGACGACATGGTTAGATGTGTGATGTTGGTGAATGTGAGTGTGAGTGTGAGATACTGGGTTCGAGTGAGTTGCCTTGATTTAGGGGCGAGTAGAAGTGAGTTCGAGTCTTCTTTCCTTGGAGGGGTAACTCTCGAGATATTCTGGTTGAGACGGATCTCGCCGTTTCTGTGACCAATTTGGATGTCCAAGTGTGGGTGAAACGAAAAGGCAGCAATTTTGAAGCTAATTTCACAGAGTCCGGGGGTTCATGCTTTTCCCAACCTCTTGAATCTTGTGGATGTTTCCTCGGGATTCAAATGCTTGTCATGGGGGGGGGGGGGGTTTCTGGCGTCTCGTTACACAAAGTATTCACTTCAAAGTCATGAGGTTGTGCCATGCGCCAGAAGTTTAAAAAAAAATTCTGTGAGCGCATCTGAGAAAGGGCGGGGTAGCTTGTCATTGGCCGGGCAGTCACTCGGGGCGGGAACCAACCAAATTGTGGTTTGAAGACGGCCTGGGAGACTGAATGTTCGGTGCTACCGGTCGCTCTTGCTTGAGTTTTCACTCACTCAGGTTTACATGTGAGCACTGCAGGTTCACTCAACTCATCGGGAAAAAAAAACGCGCCAAGAACATTGAGGTACACCAAGATTCGATGTCGACTATGAGTTGCAAGTGAAGCATTGTAGAAAATGAGAGCTACTAAGCTGGGTAGCATCCTTCAAGATTTTGGCCATCGTCCAGGGTGAGGGCAATTTGATGGTTTGAACATACGGTAGGAGGCTTTATGAGTCTGGGTGAAAGGAATAATGTGGCTAGAATATGAAAAGAAACAAGAAATTTCAATGTCGGGCTAACCTACAGCCAAGCACAGAGCTTAGTAGTCGAATCTAGCCCGAGGCCGCGCCCAAGAGCCCTGGCTGGTGGATTGCTTGGGAGGATTTCAATGTTTCCACTCACATAGTATTACTTGGGCAACAAGCAATAGTGAGACGGGGCCCAAGAGCTCGTATCTCGTGATGTTACCCATTTCGTGATAAGAAACCACGTTCGGTTTTCACCGCTCCATTTGATGACGAGCAATTCTCCGACAACGGACATGGCCGGTCTTAACGGCAGGAGACAGAAGTTATTGTATCTGTGGTGTCCCCATCAGACACGACGTCTAACGCGAGAGATTGACAGCACAGGTTGCTGCTTCGAAATAGCCTTGGCTCACTAATTCTCCCTAGCCTGACTGTATGAGCTTGTTATGAATTGTCTCTTACCGACGGACCTTTAGTCTAACCATGGTGAATGGCCTATCCGTAAACCGAATTCCCACATGAGGCATGAGCTCAAGGCAATAAAAATGCGTTGCGGCTTGCTCATGCACCCACGAGCGGCCATCGTCAGATCTGTGATCTCCGACCCCTGCCAACCAGAAGCGCCCGCATGCGCCATACTCGGACGCGAAAGTACACTAGAGGCCCGGCCCCTCAACGGCGGAGAGCAGCAAGACGCCGTTTGACCGTCCATTTCCGCAGGGGAACAAACCTTCCTAAACAGGGGTCAAGTCTGGGGCGGCAAGGCAGCCGACGAGACCAAGACGGACCAAACCAACACGGGTGTTCAAGGCGACATGAACATTCCCCCTTTGAGCCTCGCCCTGGCATGTATTGGTAGCAACGCAGGATGCGCAGCAAGTGACGGAGCTTTAATCCGCCGACTATTGACGAGGGTGTGCCAGTGTGAGTGTAATCCATTTTCTTTGGAGTGTTCTCCCTTTTTCTTGCATCGTGGTGCCGCATTATTGAAAGCTCATGGAATCGGATCGGGGCAATGACCAGTTAGTTCGCTGTCATCGGCTCGGATTGGGTCGACCTGTCTCGATCGAATCTCGGCCGTGCCATGTTGAGATTGAATTATTGACGAACGGGATTGGCTAAGTTGCAATTAGGCTACTCCGGCCTGGGCAGCGGCCTACAGGCCAAAGCGCGACGGACAGTTGCAGAGCGGGAACGGACGTGATGGTTGTCCTACTGCCTCGACGGCTATGCGCGTACGGATGGATACTTGGAAGTGGGAATTACAAGACGTCGTCGACGTAGGCAAAGGTAGGTAGAGCCGTGAAATGTATCTGTCCGTGGCAGGTTACGCCAAAAATCCTACTGTGCACAATATGCTAAGGTACTTTTATTTCTTATTCGTACATCAACTTCGATAAGGCCATCATCGGGGGGTGGCTTTGCTTGTTACTTACATCATTTTGTGGGTTCTCCCATGTACCAAAATCGCCCTGGCAGGATTTCAAGATGGAATTTTGAAATTTTATGGAGACAGCGCAGCTTCCTAGCCGTGCTAGTATACTATATTTGATGGAGGACTATCCTTAAGAGACGGCGTAAATCTCTTTTAGCTGCCAGCTTGCAGTTTTTTTTTCCCTTTTTTCTTTCTGGTACGGTCAGAGAATTCAACGAATGGGCTGGAGCTGCGAGTTGTCGATACGAGGCAACTGGGTACGTGTGCGGAAAATAGAAGCTGTGGAAAAGGGATTGACATTCACAACAAGTCCGCAACCCTGCAGGTAGGTGGAGAGGTGTGAGTTGGCCCGTTCCAGGTTGAAGACCCTCATCAGCGGCCTTCCAAGTTCCATTTGACTCTTCAGTCTCGACTCTCAAGGCAGAGTGCCATAAGTCTTCACTCAGCCAGAGAAACCGCGTCACTGTCAGACCTTCCGATGGGTACCTTATTCGGGAAGTGGAGGGGTAAAGAAGGACACGAACTTGCTAAGGGACAGGCCGACGGGACGTCCCTTTGTCCCCTCTCACATTTTCCGTGTGTCGTTCCTTCCTGCTTCTTCAGAAAGCACGCCACTTCAGTTGATGAACTACGGATGTCAATAAGGGAAGGCACCTTACCCAACTTAAGGCAGGTAGCCATGGCATGGTTGCAAAAGCATCAACAGTACGGATAAAGTACCTCCTCAACCCGAAAGACACACCTTCATTCACCTTTTCACACACGTCTTCGCCAGATATCAGCCACAGGTGGCAGCAGTAGTAAAGTACAGACAAAGTGACAAGTAGAATCTTGGTGCCTGAAGGAACCACTATTCAAGCTTCCAGGACAGTCTGTCTTCAGTGTTTGGGGAGACCTTCTGGGGCTACGAGAGTAGCGTCACGCTAACGCCCCATCTCGGACATGCTCTTGCATCTTCCTCTCATTCGTGTTTAATCTCTTATGCCAAGGTATTATCAAGGCCGGAGCACCAGGTATATCCTGTCCGGCGGCTCTTTTCAAGTATTCGTCCTTGGGAATTATGGGCCAAAGTCGTGATCGGAACAAAAGTACCGATAGATGGCGACATAGGTATCCGTCTTGACAGCGGCGATATGAGTTGAAATAAAGATTCGGGAGAGCTTCTCCCAAGTATCCCGCTTTGCTCTTGTCCTGGTCAATTCTGTTTTGCGTGATTGCGGGATGGAATTGTCCTATAAGCGGCCGGGGCATACCTACGAAGAGCAATGGAGGTCCAAGCAAGGTACCTTGCAGCGGCAGCCCATGCTCATGATACCAACGTTACCAAACTAAGGTACATACATAGGTACTTTCGTCAGGTGCCAGCCTCCAGGTCCACCCTCTCCTCGGGAGCCTCCAGCCTGCCTTCCACACCGGTCAACTTCCCCTTCCAGGCTCTTGCCCCTCGCCTCCATTCACGCCCCCTCCCACATCGCAATTGGCAACCTCAAATCTTCAATTCAGCGAATCGGCATACGATTCGCCTCCCACAGGCTCTGCCAGACTGCCAGCATCTCCTCATACATCGTCTTAGTCTTGAAGACGCAACATGTGGCTGCCGATGGAACCGTGTCCCATATCCACACCTGCGTCAAACGGTAGTCTCCTGTTTTCTTCCTTGCAACCAGAAAAGAGAAAGAGAGAGAGAGAGTCGAACGTCGAACGCATCCCAGACAGACGCTGTTAACAAGACATTGAGGAGAATCAAGCAAGTCTACGAATGCCTCGTCCGAGTCTCGTCTCGTCTCCATCGCCTATCTGCCGGACGACGTATTTTTCGGTCTGGGCATTCTTGGACGACGCTCTAGAGCCTTCAGGAATAAAAGTAGTCAGATGTCGTACGTACGGAGTACATATTCGTACATGCACGGGACAGACATCTGCTCTGCCCTGTCAACCACCCGCCGTGAACCCGACACGATCCCGGCCACGGCCTACAGGGAGCCGTCCTTTGTGTCTCCTTCGAGCCGGGGTGACTGGAAGTGCTATCGATCCAACGTCCCAGACGACATGCCATGCCACCATGGATGCGATCGAGCTTGAGTCTGATCAGGTCCATTCGTTTTGGTCACGCACTCCTCGGTAGAATGCGAGTGCCCGTCATTTCGAACCTCCATCGTTGCTTTGTCTCCCGGACTTGGATCGGTCTCGGACAAATCTACGGCGGGTTTGCTACCAACCAAGTCTCCTCTGCTCTTGGTAGGCTCATATTGGCGTGGATCTGGCAGGTTGACCGAATCAAGGACCAAGCTTTGCTTCGGGAAAACACAAAGTTGCGATGAGACAGTTACCCTCGAAACATTTCATCATCTGCAATACTCGGGAGTGGCAGTCATCCGGCTTCCGCTGACCAAAAGTCATCAGATGTCCGAACCTCATTCCTGGATACGCAACCAGCCATCTGTCTACACACTCTGCAGCCACTTCTCGAAGCCCCATCCTGCCGACGGAAAAGGAAGTATGAGACATGGCATGAGCAAGAAAAACGTTGTCGTTGCTGGCCGCCGTTGTAACTTGTGTCCATTAGCTCACTAGCCAAGGAATCTCGACCTGCAGTCGTCTCCAAAATTCGATGGCGGCGGCTCCGAGTTTAATTTTATGACCTCGAGTCGCTACCGAGGCTGCCGACAGTCTACAAAGGAGGACCCAGCTTTCTCAGTGCACCACCTAGTTCGTATGCCCTAGGTACTCGAAGCCTCCTGCTTATCCGCGCTCGTCTGTTCGTCCGGATGGCTCTCTTTCCAAAGTCAAATTCAGCCGATCGCCCAAGCACGTTCTGTCCTCGTTTTTCGGCACATCTTGCATGGCAGACCAAAGTCTGGGTGGCGTTTACTTCAGAGCTTCCAACATTTCAGCCGATGTTGAGAACTTGCAGCCCCGGGCAACGAAAACATGCCGGACACCTCAGCGAGAGGCTGGGCTGAGTGCCATGGTGCAGCAATTGGATGGCGGGTGCAGCTGAAGCCTGAGAGGATGGGGTACCGCATCGGTAACGAGAACCTTGAAGGCAGACGACGCAGTGCGACATTCGAGTAGCTCATACCGCTACGCTACTCCGCATGAAGAAAGAAACAAGCCGCCCCGAGTATGATTACCGCCAAAGAGGGTGTGCGGCCAGGGGGAAATGGACGATGGACGCCACCCAACGACACTAATCCCAATGGGCGATTCCTTCAAAGGGTTCAATTCAGGACCAAGAGAGACAATGGCGAAATCCCCCGGGGCCGTGGACCATGTCGTACACTTGTACCGAGAACGAGAGAGCAAGCCATCACTTGCTGGAGGATCCAAGAAAATAGCATCGGCGGAAACGAAGGCGTCTCTCATCTCCCGTTTTACCATCCGGTCTTTTGGGTAGGGTTTACGCAGCACGCGGGCTTGGACCAGAGTTCAGCAGGACGGCGGACGACGAACAAACGAACAAACGACCGCTATGCGTTCCTCAGACATGGCAGTAGAGCGATCTCCGGGCCATCCCATCGTCATCCCAAGCTGCCCATCCAATGCCATGCAGCCCAAAACCCTCGAATCCTCAATACCATTCCCCCCTTCTCGTCTTTTCTCCGCACACACCCCCTTCCCCTGGATCCCTGACCCTGAACCCCTGGGCCCAGAGAATTCTAGCAGGGCGAACCAGGGAAAAACTGCAGAGCAAAGAGGCAAGGCAGCTGTGCAGGTATGCTGGCAGCGGGCCGACCAGGCTGTGAAGTCACAAGTGAAAGGAACGGTGGTGGGCTGGCTCGACATTTCGCGTGAAGCGCTGCCTCAAGCCCACTATTTCCAGCAACTATTGCTTGGTCTCTCCACTCTCCTAATAAAAATAGGCCCTGCGACTGGGTGTTGGAACCAGGGAAGTGCGTCGATGTGGGAGAAAGCAGACCAGACTCACAAAGCCCAGAGTCCCAGAGCAGCAGACCATCAGCAGGAACTGGAAAAATGGCCCACCAAGAACGCAGGACGCGGGACGCGGGACATGGGATGCAGAAGTGAGGAGAGGAGCAAAGCAAAGCAGAGCAGAGAGCAGAGGAGAGCATCGACCTTTCATATTTTCTCTCCTGGAGACCTGGAGACCTGGACTGGCCCTGCTCACGTTCTTTCTGACATGCCCCTGTTTGGTCGACGGGGACCCTCACACTTGGCTGGCCTGCGTTAGACTTAGCCGTGCCTTTTTGGCTCTTCTCTCGCTCACTCACTTTCTCTTGCCTTGCCTAATTCCTTACTGATCGGATCGCCTCCTCCTTTCCACATTCCCACCCGCCCACCGTTCGCTCCAAGTCTCCAACCTCTCGTTGTCTGCTTCGCCGACCCTCGCTGCTGCTGCCATCATTTGTTGCATATCATTTCGTGTTGTGCCCATCCATCCCACGACTTGACTTTGTTTCTGTTTATTCATTCGTTCTTCATATCCTAATACCCCAGTTTCCATCCTCCCCATCGCATCGCATCGGCGAACCCCCCTAGCCCGCCCACTTGTCCATCATCTCCATCGTCTCTGGCCTTGTACAGCCCGGGTCCAGCTTTTTTTTTTGCATCTCTTTGCGTTTGGATAAAAAAGTTTGAACGAGATCATACGGCTTTTGGTTTCACGTCCTCGCATGCGCTCTATAGACTAATATTCGTCTCGTCGCCTTCTCGACTGTTCGCCGTCTCATTCTGTCTCGTTGGACAGACCCCTTGGGTAAGCCATCATCAAGCCATTCCTTTCGTCCTCCCTCATTCCTCAGCCCACCGGCCCAGGCCTATACATAGCTGCGCTCCCCCTTCGGATTCGCGACATCACGGCGCGCGAGAGAGCGGGAGAAGCATTGCATTGTTGTCGAGAGCCCAGGTCCATCGCTAAGGCTGCTGGCGGCTACCATTTCCGCAATACCCTCATTCCCCATCTTCCCGTCTCCTTGGTCCCCACGAGTGGCACACATACCTAGCTCAGTCGCATACTGGAGACACTCTTTGCGATACCTCACACACGCGCACAAGTCAACCAACGACGGATCGCAGTTGCAGCTGACACTCTGGATTCTTTCCGCTACGCAGTATCGCCTCGCTTGCCGCACTTTGGTGTCACACTCCGCACCGAGTACTGACGCGAGCCACAAACAAAGCCCTCCCGAATCTCAGCTATCTGTCGTCATCCCACATCGGCTGACCCGCCTCGTATCGCTTCTTTTTTTTTTCTGCGCTGCGGCCCCAGCCCAAGGCGAAGGACAGCCAGCCCCCAAAGATTTATCCTTACGAAGCCCGCTTCTCGAACTACTCGGCGTGTAAACACGCAACGTTTCTGTCCCGCAGGGAAATACGAATAGCGGTTCATCCATATGCCTAGATTCTCCGTCTCTTTCGGCAGGCGGCGATCGACCGTCAACTCGGAAGAGTTCCATGATGAGCCGGTAGAGACAACGACCAAGGAAAGGCCGACTTCCTTCCGTGTCTTAGAAAGGACCGAAGTTGGAATTGGAGCAGGACAAAAGTCTTTTGACGGTGGTCACAGGCTGCTCAAGGCAACCACGATGGCAATTCCTCCCAAGCAATACTCGGACCTGTCTCTCGAGGACAACAACATATTTGCAGACGTGAAGAACAACCGGTATGTGTGCATTCGTCCATTTTCCTTTGAATCACGTTTCCATTTTAGAACACATTCTTGGCCCTGAAGGGCGGGAGGAGGTGGGATTGAGAAAGCAAGAAAGCGAGACCTGGAAAGCAAGCAGCAAAAAGAGGGTTGGCATGCATTCCACAGCGGCATGTCTCGGACTCAGCGGCGGATTGTTGCCCTGCTAGTGGTCTTTTTTTACTTGCTGTCTCGATTTCCCTCCCCTGTCTGCAATTCATTTCAGGGCCATGGCAAGGATTGTGTCTAACGTCGACTGACTCAGCTTAAGGGGAAGTGGGTCATCTAATACCACCAAAACAACCTCGACAGATACTTCTTCGCGCCACAGCAACGTCTCAACCACACCGTCTTCGGCTGACCTCGGCCACCAAGGGGCTCAGGAAGAATGGAAACCCTCGATTAGAAAATCACAGACCGAAGTCCCAGCTCCCAAGCACAGCTCTGGTGGGTTCCTTAGCAAAGCCGGCAGAACCTTTTCCTTTGGCGGTCAAAAGAAGAATCAAGTCCCCGTCGACGATCATCCTCTACCTCCTCCGCCCTTGCCTCCCCAGGCGTCGCTGGAGGACGACCATAATACCCGCAGACCGAGAGGTTTGACAGATTCCACCGACAGAACTGCCACGCCTCCCAAGCTCAGCGAGGAGGACTTTGCCCTCGACTTTGGCAGTAATTTTGGTAATATGTTCAAAGGTTCCGGGTTCGACAAAAGAGCTAGCCAAATGACGCTTCCCGGCAACGACAAGTCCAACATGGGACCCCGTTCCCTCACAACAAACCGAGTCAATCAACCTCAGCCGTCGCCCATCAAGATTGACAAGTCCATCAAAGTCGAGGCCTCGCCTTATTCATGGAGCAGTCAACACTCTAATGATAATTTGCTGCACTCCGGTTCCAACTCTCCCCCGGCTACTGCACCACCCCCAGTGCCCCGGCACGGCTCACCACTGGCCTTCCGCAACAATGTGCCATCCGATATCATCGAAGACGAAGATGCAAACCTTCTGAAGGATTCGGTGGCAGCTAGTCGATTTCTTGGCAGTTCCGGTCAGCCTAGCAACCCGTCTCCACCCGGGAGATTCCGCAGAAATGAAGATGCATTCTCCACAGCGTGGGATGCAACGGACAGCAAGAAGGAGGAGGAGAATATGTTCGATAACAGCAGAGCACAACCGCCGAAGCCACCCGCGAACACGCAACGCTACATCTCCAACAACAACAATCACAGCCCGCCCCGAAACAAAGTTATGACTCCCGCCGAGTTCGAGAAGTACCGTCGAGACAAGGAACGCGATGACAACACGAGCGAAACGGTCAAGGCCTCCGACGACAACCGCGATGACGATGAGGATCAGTATGATGACGACGAGGATGACATTGAAAAGGCGAAGCTAGCAGCCAAGCAAAGGAAGAAGCAGGAGGCTCACATGGCCGTCTACCGACAGCAGATGATGAAGGTGACGGGCGAGAACCCGATGGCTGGCCCTTCCGGGCATGCTACCCGACCAAATCTATCGGTGTCGCTCAGCACCCCCAACCTCGGAAACCTGACCGTCCCCGCGGGTCCACTGACGGGCAGGTCAGACGGCTCCGAGGGAGAGGAGGACGAAGAAGTGCCGCTTGCCATTTTGGCTGCACACGGATTCCCAAACAAGAACAAGCCGCCTGCTCGACTCATGAACATGGCTTCGAATCCTGATTTGCGTGCATCCGCTCAGAACCAACCCCAGCCTGCGAGACCGGGGTCGAGCATGGGCGAGGGAACAGGGCCGAGGGGAACAAGCGGTGGTCACCTTCCCGCCTTTGCGAGGAAGCTCCCGCAAGACCCGTTCTTGGGTGCTGGTCTCATCAACGGACCGCCACGCGAGTCTCTTACGTTTGGAGGAGGCTCTCCCGCCCCCGGTGCCCAGCAGCCAGCCGTCGTGGGCGGCCTTGTCGGTGTTATCGCTGGCGAGGAACGAGCCCGGGCTATGCGCAGAGGTAGCCCCAACGTTGAGGCTAACGTCGATCCCTTCACAGGAGCACCGGTTGGCCCTGGCAACGGAGTTCCGGCCTCCATGGTATACAGCAACATGAACGGAATGAACGGCGGAATGGGTGGTATGGGAGGCATGCCGCAGATGCAACAGATGCAGCAAATGCAACAGATGCAGCAGATGCAGCAGATGCAGGGAATGCCCGGAATGCCTCAGATGCCTCAGATGCCCCAGATGATGCTTACACCAGGAGACCAGGCACAGATTCAAATGACCCAGCAGATGCAGCAGTTTATGCAGATGCAGATGCAGTTCATGCAGATGATGGCGACTCCAGGTGGTCAGAACATGAACGCCATGAACGGAATGAATGGCATGCAAAGACCGATGAGCCATGTCGGAACACCCTCCGTCCACGACAGCCAGCGCCAGTCCTACTTTGGAGATTCCATGCTGGAGCCCCCTCGACTCGACCCCCGAACGAGAACCATGAGCATGGTGCAGCCAAGCTCCTCTTCATGGATTCAACCTCCCGGAGGAGGATTTGCTCCATCTATTCACGGAGGCATGGGTGGTGGTGGGTACGCACCCAGTATTCACGCCCAAGGTGCCGGGTATGCTCCCTCGATCGCACCCTCGGAACGCAGCAACGTGGGCTTACCAGGCCGTTACAGACCCGTAACGCAAGCGCCCCAATTGGACTCTGGCCGACGCATGTCGGTCATGTCGGGAGCCATGGGATGGGACCAGCCTCCCAAGGTTGTCCAGCAGCAGGAGAACAAGTTGCCTGACAAATCCAACAGCAACTCGGACGATGACGACGAAGAGGGCTGGGCCGCGATGAAGGCCAAGAAGGAGAAGAAGCGGGGACTGTGGAGGACGAAGAAGAGCATCGGCAGTGAAATTGGAGCACTCATCTCTTGAAGGTACACAAAATGACGATGCCACATGGATAAAAGGGGGATGAGAGAAGAGGTGGGATATTGGAACACGACAAAAAAAAAAGACTGGACATATTACCAAAAAGGAACACAGACACATCACGCAACTCATTTAAGGCGTGTTTGGGTTCTCTTTTCGATCTAGGGTTTGGTGTAGGGTAATCTTTCGGCGCACCCTCATCAAGTGTACATTCTGGGAGAATCTGTTTGCCGGGCGTCGCTGCGGGAGTGAAAGAGCAAGATGAAAGGACTTGGTTATTGTTTACAAAGTCATGATAGACAGCTCTTGGTGCCATAATCAACTAATGTTGGAGAAAAAAACTTGAAGATGAGCCCTTTTTCATTGCCTAGACCATGCTTGCGCTGTGTTTGGTGTACGCAACCTACTCAGGGGCCCCGAAAGTTTGTTCACTCGATCATTGGCTTCAGGTTCAACTAGTAGATGTTGATGTGTTTTCAAATGGCAAGTAAATTTCAATGGGTCGATCTCTATCCACGACAGACCCTTGGTATGATTTGTTTCGTTTTTCTTTTGTGTCTCCTTTTTCGGGTTCTTTTACTCTTTTTTTTCCAGCAAACGTCTAAAACCCAAAGAGCTTCCCCTTGCCAATCCCTTTCACCTCAAAGGCGCAGCAGTTGTGTCAAATGGGAGTTTTCTTCCTGACAAACGGGGAATTCCTCTTTCTTTTCCTCTTTACCTTCACTCCATCTTGCCCGCAGCCCACGCCTTGCGCTTGACGCCGAGCTCGACGGCGGCCAGGCCCCAGTCCTCGCCGTGGTTGTGACCGCCGGCCGTGAGCCCGGCGCGGGCCTGAGCCTGCTCGTCGCTGAGGACGGTCAGGACGCCAAAGATGACGGGGACGCCCGTGTCGAGGCCGACGCGCATGAGGCCCTGGGAGACGGCGTCGGCAATGTACTCAAAGTGCATCGTCTCGCCCTTGATGAGGACGCCGACGGCGATGATGGCGTCAAATGGCTGGCCGCTGGCGGTTTCGGTGGGGAGGGAGGTCAGGTCCGTGGTGGAGGCGCCGAGGAGGTCGCCGGCCGAGGTGCCGGTGCCGGATTGTGCGGATTGGACTTGGGAGGCTTGGTAGAGTCTGTGGGTTTGGGGGGTTGGTCATTGTCAGCCAAGTAGCTTCTGGAATGGATTGCGAAAGCGGAAGTTCCGAGCCCCAGCCAGTCTTGCTTGTACGACTGCTTTGCCGTTGACTCACCTCTGGACGGAGATGGGGAGCTCCCAAGCTCCCGGGACGGACTGGACGACGATGCTGGACTCCTTTACGCCGCAGGCGAGGAGCTTCTCCTTGGCGCCCTTGACGAGGGGTTCGATGATGGACGAGTTCCAGCGGGCGTGGACGATACCGATGCGCAGGGCGCTGCCGTCGTGCTGTTGCGGGGTAGGTCCCTTGATGTCGGACATTTTGAGTTGAATGGGTTGGTGGTGATTTGGGAAGAGGAAGGGTATCCAGACGTTTGTGATTGTGGTCGCGATAAGTGAGTGGGCGGGCAGCTCTGTAGTTTTTTGGCGGGGTGGTTTGAAGATGGCAAGTGGTGGGATGGACAGCAATGCTTCTTGGGAGCTGGGAAGAGCTACGTAAGATGCGGGTTTTGGCTTAGGAATCGCTTAGCATGACTTGTGTTTGTATTACGGGATACACAGTAGCAAGGCGGGCGGGCGGGCTTCCAGGAACGAGGACCTTGCGATGCGGGGCAGAGCGGTTTGAGGTGCTTGCGTGCCTTGCACCTGCGAAGGGGAGCTGCGGGGCTCGGCGCCCTGGGAATTGACTGCAGGAAACAGTACCTTAGCTTTGGCACGGGCGGTTGCTCCCATTAAGGCTATCGACTGGGACCAGCTGGCAAATCGACCGTCGTGTTCTTGGACGGGAAGGGACGACTTACACACCTACTTCCTACGCTTGCTGTTGAGTACGCCCAGTCTCTTCTTGTTGCCTTTCTCTCAAGTCCAGATCCGCCGGATTCTTCTAACCTTCGTAACACCATCATCTTGACAATTTTCCTTGTCGTTCTTCTCACATCGTCGTGTCCATATTGTCTGTCCCTCACTATCTAGTAATATCTTCTCCCTTTCGGGGCACCTGCTCTTGTCTTAGACGTCTGCGCCGATCTCTTTGAGCCCTGTGTTCGTGCAGGATGTCAATATCTCAGCTACCTCAAGCTACTGTTCGTCAGCTTGGCTCCTCTGTCGTCATCCCATCTCCTGTGTCACTTGTCAAGGAACTCGTAGACAATGCTATTGACGCCCATGCAAACCATATCGAGATCAGAACTTCCGCAAACGCAATAGACAAAATCCAGGTCAGAGACAACGGTCACGGTATTAGCTCAGAAGACTACGATGCTCTTGGACGCCGGTCCCACACCAGTAAGCTTCGGACTTTCGAGGAGCTTCAATGCAAGGGAGGCCAAACACTCGGCTTCCGCGGCGATGCCTTGGCAAGCATAAATGCCGTCTCGAAGCTTACCATCACGACGAGAACGACCCGTGATCCAGTGGCGATCTTGCTGGTACTAAACCCCAAGGGCGGTGGATTTACGGATAAGAAGCATGTTGCGGGCTCCGTTGGGACTACCGTCGACGTCTCGGACTTGTTTGCCAACATTCCGGTTCGCAGGCAACAAATTCTGAAGGAGAGCAAGAAAACATACGCACAGATCAAGGACCTCCTACAGGTATACGCACTCACTCGACCTCACATTAGACTCTGCTTGAAGGTCATCAAAAATGACAAGCTTTCGTGGTTTTATGCTCCAAGCAAAGACGGTGGCGTACGAGAGGCAGTTCTCCAAGTCTTTGGGTCCGAATTAGTTTCGCAATGCGTCTAGAAGACGTTCAGTGGAACCACTCCTGCGATCTTAGCAACGAAACCGGGAAGACCAGACACACCAGCATCCGTCATGAGACTCGAAGCTTTTCTCCCGAGAGCTGATGCCGATCCTTTGAAAGTGTCTGGCAAGGGTTACTTCATTTCCGTTGACTCGAGACCTATGGCTACCACAAGGGGCACGATGAAGAAACTTGTCGATATTTACACAAAACACCTGCGCGGCTGTGTCGTTCTTGACAATTCTTCCAAGCCCATTCCCAAGCCCTTCATACGCTTGAATGTCGAATGCATACTCGGAAGCTACGACCCCAACGTAACCACGGCCAAAGACGAGGTCATCTTTGCAAACGAGCCAAAATTACTGTCCCTATTCGAAGACATGTGCAAGGAGATATACCGAGCAACCGAGCCCGAAATAACAGCTGAAGTGGTCACGGAAAGTCATCAAGGTGCATACGAGCGAGCTAGATATCAAAGTCCGGATCTTCTTCCAGACGACGACGAAGAGAACTATGACTCCCTGCAAGAATTGGTCTCGGTCGACGGGAAGAGTCAGGAAAGAGTACTGACCGGCCTGGGTTCCCCTGAAAGTGGACAGCAGCTGCCAGAACCCCCCGATAGAGAGCATTCACACGGTCGTAAAGCCGTGCCTGGGGCGGCGGAAGATCTGAGTTGTCCCGCTTCTGTGGATCACAGCTCAATAGATATCGAGTACAGCACTGTCATAGACAGTTCCCCTTCCTCAGACCCAGGGCAAGCACGAATTGGCCGAGGAGATGAGGGGGATACTCAGGAGGCAGTGCTCACCCAAACCCTCCTTCGGACTGGTTGGGAAGTGAATATGGCTAGAGAAGAGACTGCCAGTCCCGAGGGTCAAACGCAGCTGGTTCTTCTGGGGCCTCCCAGCACTGACGTACACGAGTTCATCCAGTCACAAATGGAACAGCAGACACAAAGAGAGGAACCAAACCCGTGGTCTTTGGCCAGGAAGGCGGCAGCAAACCATTCGGCTCGCCGCGAAGATATATCTGGCCTCCAATACACGGGCGAACAAAGGGACGGCGATACAACTCCTCGCCAGCAAGGCCATGCCCCCAATTTAGCAGATACTATGCAAGAAGCCGATAAAGTAGTCAGCCAAGAGATCGAAGATCGAAAATTTTCTCGTCAGCAGAAATTTCAACCCCATTGGGTACCTGCAGCAGCAAGGGAGGGTATTTACGAACCAGATACCTTGAAACCACCGATACTACAACACCCTACCGCCCCACCGACAAGTCATCAGATTCCAAGACACCGGGAACAGCGAAGAATTCCAAGAGATGAGGAGGCATTCCATTCATCTTTTACTGGACACGAAATCGAAGACCTGGAAATAATACCGCAGAGGGGCCCAGGTGTTCGCCAACGCATCGGTGCCAAGACGCCGTATCCCTTTGCGGATCTTGACGAGAGTAGTGTGCTTGGCACGCCTCCTCCGTCTTCCAGTCCATTGCGAAAGCCATTCCGAGTACCTGCCCGCATTGAACAAGGTAGCAACCGTCATGGACGACAGGCACCGCTGAGGCCTGCCCAGGCTACTCGGAGATTTGAGCCTCGTAGGGCAGACGGACTGAGACAAAGCAAGCTTGCCGTTAACACACGAAGAGATATACAGCACCCGGAGCTCAAGGATACATCAGGTTATTGCTTTCCTTCAATTGAGTCCAGAAGAGATAATTACAATGATGATGTCGAAGAGACGAGGAAGTCAAAGCATCGGTATAAGCAAGCCAGCCCAGATCCAAACGAGAGGCAGATGTTGGAGAGATTGAACGCTCTACGCCACAGAACTGAAGACGTGTATGTCGAAATTGCAGGTGAAGAACGCGGAAGATCACTCTCACGGAGAGCTACAACCACCCTGCCAGATATGTCTCCGCGAAGATACCTGAAGAAGAGGCTGGCATCTAGGTCCAGGTCGAGAACCAAGATACACAAGAGAATGAGATCTGAGATGCTTCCATTTGAGAAGCTTTTCTCTGAGCCTCACACCCAAACACACTCACTTGCACTTGATCTACAAGATTTGCGGCAGGAGGTTACCAATGCGTCTGATTTTGATCTTTACATCTCCAGAGGCATACAGGAAGTGGCGTTTCACATGGGTAGGAATGAAATGGAGAATATCAGCAACAAGCTTCAAGAAATTGTGTGCGCCTGGGTGTATGAGAAGCATGGAGTTGAGGTGGAGCTCGAGGTTGATATTGGTGCATTGTGCGATGGAGAAGACATAGGAGTATAGTGTGATAAGTTTTCTTACTCTATGATGAGTGACATATCCCTCGAGAGCCAGGCGTTAGGTCGCGTTACAAGGCGGCTTTGCTATGGGGCGAGTTATCACTATTTGTACACTGGGTTTTTACTTGCTTCATGTAGACAATGACAACCATAACTTACTTCAATGGCTGCACCTGTGCCTCACTTATTCTACATTTGCTCGGCTCATCCTCTAGTCTGCCTGTCTCATGTCCCACTGTATCTAGGCCAAGTCTTACCACCAAGAGCTTGTACACCATATCTACCCTGGAGAAGTCTTCAAGCAAGTGGCAGTTTTTGGATCATTCGTTTCTTCCACCCCAAGGCGTTCTATGTCTTACTTCACCTGGTGACAAGGGTCGTTATGAGAGATGGCAGTTGAACATTTCTGGACGAGAATATAGGTAGTGACAGAAGTAATGGCGTCGATAGATTTCCAATGTCAACTACATAAAGTTGCTCGAAACGTCATAGCCAACCAGTGACTGGGCATTTTACAAAGAAAGGATGCTCTAGAAGACCACCAAGAAAGTCTGACCAAGGTAAGCAGAGATGGCACTACTTACTTTGATTGACATGCTATATGTGTATTTTATCATGCTAGGGCCATAGGCTTTCGTCACGTTATTCATATGCCCTAGCATTCAACGGAAGAAGTACTTCGCAAGAAAGAGTGTACTGGTATGCTTGATATGCTGCCTACTTACATGGCAACATATATCTATGGTTACAAAACGGGGCCTTGGTAATATAAAAATTGCGGTTTACCTTACCAGGGTAGCAATACTTTCTCACCCGAGGCAATGAGAAAGCAATGAAGTTGGCCAAACTCCAGTCATGCCGTTCTAAGGGTACGTCACTCTAATGCGAAAGCAGCGGGGAAAATGGAAGGCTGGATGGAGAAAAAAAAAGGAGGGGTGGATGGGGGGTGGCACTGCCGATCAGAGGAGGTAACAATGAGACGGGAGTCCACAAAACCAGGCCCCTTGGGCGAATACACGTAACTTGGTGTATACTCCGTACAAGGCTTCCTGTGAAATCTTTATGGGACTGGGACTGGTTTTCCGCGTTGAACGCAGTGGCACCAGTGTGAAGGAGACGACTCGGCTGGCTTGACATGACGATGGATCTCGGTTGTTGCTCCCACTGTGCTGCCACGTTTTGAGGGAGAGGGTTTGCTATTCCGCGGCCATGGCAGTGATGTCCACAATGAATATACAAGTGCCTTCCAGCCGTCCGAACCGCCCTCCCAGCGGGAGAGTGTGGAAACTCGGGAAGAGCCTGAGTGGTTGGAAGCATACTCCATGATGCAGCACGGCAACGGGTGGGGGGCTTGAGAAAGACGGCATCATCGTATTCCTGCTGTGCCGGTGCCTACCATTCTAGCACGCCTAGCTAGTGTGTAAAGGGCCGCAGTACTTTTGAACCTCTTCTGCAGCAACTTTTCGAGGTCTCTTCCTGACCACACCGTTCGGGCGTAAGGTGACACAGGACAAGTCTCTACCCATTTGACTCGGGTTGACCCTGTGGCTTACCCGTAACGGCTCATGTGAGGCGAACCCGGTGATGGCGCCCCACCGGGTCCGGCTTCCTGGCGTCCTGCCTGTCTCACATTAGGTTCCCGCGAGGTAAGGGCTGGACTGGCCTAGAAACAGTATTCGGTGGTTGCGAAGCGGTGAGATATAGCAGACGGCTACAGGTTAGAGGGCAAGACCGGCCATTTCCTCAAAGAAGCTATACGATGGGAGATAAGGTGAGCACGCGGAGTGAGGCATGGCTGCTCGGGAACCAAGAGAATGAGTTGAAACCATGTTTCTCTGGATTGTGTGTTGGCATCTGTGAATTCCGCACAAGTTACCCTCATATCAACGGCTGAGATCCGGCCTGGGCAACACGGGGTTTCCGCGGCTACCAGTAAATATCTTAGCACTTCATCATGTAGACGGCCATCAAAAGAGAAGAAAGCTCGCAAGATTCGTGCTGTCGATTAAGGAGGCAACAGTCAGCCTGTCCTTAGCGACAGACCGTGAAGCAGGCGGCATGACTTGAAATCAGCTTCGTCGTCCGGGATGCGGCAACAATGGGGGCAAGTGGGGCTGAAGAGCGTCGTTCAGACAGCGTGATGGCACTCAAATCAGCGGTGCGAAATTATGCATACCATGCCGGGATAAGAGCCTCAAGGTCGTTGTCTGGAGCCAAAGAATCAAAGGTTGCCGAAAATAGCTACAACAGAAGTAAGCGAGACACATGGAGACTGGCTTGTGCAGAAGTTCGTATTGGGGACGCGAAGGAATCTGATTCCTATTTGTTGTCGCCACGGGTGGTGGAGGGAAAGGCGGTATGATTGGGTTGGTTGACTAGCGAGTTATCGCAATTGACGGATGACGGGTTTTGACGAAGAGAGTCCATGTTTCACTACCAAAGTTTGACGTACGTTTGCTTGAGATACTTACGCAAGCACGGCAAGGTTGGCAAAGTCAGTTGGGTAGGTTCTGTGTACCTAGATAATCGAGGTGGTGGCTTATTCCCAGTTTCGAGGTGATCATTCTGGCCTCTAGGCAGTGAGTGACTGAGCTGGTAGCGCATTGAGTCTGAAGTCTCATATTATAATGCAATTCGAGTCGATTTTCTTTTTGAAGGGACGGACGATGATGTTTCGAGAGCATGCACGAGTATAGATACGACGGCTATGGCCAAGGATGTGTTGTGCGAATGAAGTGTCGAGTTGTGCAATTGGGGGTATAGCAGCCAGATGCTATGCATGGAGAACCCGTCAAACATGATTAAATGCTGGTCCATGCTGGCAGGTTTTTCTTGCTGTGCGTTGTAGTAGCTCGGGTTTCTGTGGCTCAGCCAGCAACAACATCGATAGGTATTCCTGGCCGTGGACGCTGGAGAAGCCCTCTGCTGGGATTGGAGCGTCGCACACGGCGCCGCGGGATGGACGATCCTCTGCGATGCATATGCCTAGGCAATTTGCTCAGTGTCTTGGAAACTGGGTCTGCCGGATTCATTGGGATCTCGATCCGGTGCCTTTCTTGGTTTTGCATCTCCCTCCATGGGGAATTGTGACGATGCTGCTGGTATTGATGCTCGTTTACCAGGTAGCGCGCAGAGTCTAGCTGGATGCTTGCCAGCATATAGACGGGTACTGTATCGATCGGTGGTCTAGGTTTCGTCTGAAGTCGTAGTTCTGTCCTGCCACAGTCATGTTCAGTTGATGATCCTGGCAGATTGGCCCATGCGCGACTCTCTTCATCTCCGTCCAAATTGTTTCCCGAAGGCGAACAGTGTGTCGGTAACCGGAAGGGGAGACGAGGACAAGGGCAGAAATTTGTCGGCCAAGTGTGCCGTGTGCTTGTTACCGTAAGGTACTGTAGCATTAGACGGATACGCATAGAAGGTTGTCATTCTGGATGTAGTCAAGCTACAACAGAGTCCGCTCAAAAACAGAAAGACAGGCGGACTGGTGTACTGCGTATGCTGGCGCTGTGAGCACGGCGACTGGAGATGCCCGTATGCAAGTCACAGATGCGATTGAACTGCCATCTCAGGCCTGAAGCGTGCTTGGGCTGTGCATGTCCTTGTCCTTGTATTGCTCTGCTCTGCCTGCTCTGCACGAGCTCACTGAGCGTTGTGGTACTGCTGGGTCACTTGATGGTTAGCAGAAGTGGTTTTGGTGATTAATCGGAGGACGATGCCTTACTTGACATGCCATGATGCCAGTAACACCTCAGGAATACCTAGATTGCATAGAGTTTGGCGTGTTATTTGGCACCATTGAGTGCGCGACGGATGGCATTAGCCACATCCAGGTCAGAGACAAGGTCTCACGCCAGCTGTTGGCGTTGAAATGGATCGAGGTGACCTAGCTTTGCGGAATTCCATCAGCACGTCATAGGGTGGCAGTCTTGGGTTTCAGGCCGGGCGCTAGACAAGCACTGCCATTGGGAAACCTTCTTCCCCTCGCCCTTGTCTTACCTTATGTACCGGCCCCCGTCGTCTGTCTGCTTTGGACGAGCCTAGGTTCGAGTGAGGTTTGCGCTGGAGAGCGATATAGATAGGTGGTGTACTCGCATGGTTCGTAGTTAGACAGTCTTGACAGTGTCCCTGCGTGAGGCCACTTTAGGTGTTCGTAGCCCCAAGAGAAAAGAAGGGGTCCAGGGTATTCTAAGTACCTTATTATCGAAGAAAGTTAATTCTTTTTAAGTCATAAGTATAAGAATATAGTTTTAATAAAATAGTATAGTACCTACTTAGTACTTAAATTAAGATACTTTTTTAAGCTTATTATAAGAGAAAAATAATTATATTACTAACTACTTATTATTAAGGTCCGTAAGTAATATTATAGTTTTAATTATAATAGTTTTATTTATAATAAGTAAAAAGTCTAATTATAAGTCCTTTAAAAGCCTCTCTTTAAGAACTATAAAAGCCTCTAAGTATACTAAGTTAAAATACTTATTAAAATATTAATAACTAAACTAACTTTATAATAACGACTTTAATAAAAAACTTAGTAAATAATACTAAAAGCCTTATTAATATTAAATATAATTTATAAAACGTAATAACGCGGCTATAAAGTATTATTAATATATCTTATATTAAAAAGGGTATTATTAATACTAATAAAATAAATAGGGCTATATTAATATAGTACTTCGGCTTTTTTTTATAACTCGAGGATAATTATTTTAAATAATATTAAAAATCTATTAAAAAGCTCTCTTAAATACTCTAATATATTTATTACTATTTTTATAATAATAAAACTCTTAGTGCTTATATATAAAAATAAGTTACTTATTTTTAAATAATAATACTAGCTTATTAATAAGCTATTAAAACTACGATTTTAATAATTTTTTAATGAGGGAAAGGGTAGAATAGAGGAAAGGATAAGTAATTTATAAAAAGGGTTAAGGTTAAATAATACGGAATTCGAGGGTAGGGTAGCGTCTATATGTACTGCGGCAATCC